GGTCTTGTTAACTCTTCCAACTGTTTTTCTATTCTCCATTTCATTTAATTCTGCTCTAATTCTTATGATTTCCTTTCTTCTGGCGCCTGAGGGCTTCTTTTGCTGCTCTCTTTCTACCTGTTCCAGTTGTAGGGTTAATGTTTTGATTTTGGCCCTTTCTTCTTTTTGGATGTGTGCATTTATTGCAATAAACTGACCTCTGAGCACTGCTTTTGCTGTGTCCCAAAGGCTCTGGTAGGATGTGTTTTCATTCTCATTTGATTCTATGAACTTCTTTTTTCCACCCTTAATTTCTTCTGTAACCCAGTAGTTTTTGAGCAAGGTGTTGTTCAGTTTCCATGTGTTTGATGTTTTTTCCTTGCTTTTTCTGTTATTGATTTATACTTCTAAGGCTTTATGGTTGGAAAAGATGCTTTGTAATATTTCGATGCTTTGGATTCTGTTAAGGCTTGCTTTGTGGCCTAATATGTGGTCTATTCTGGAGAATGTTCCATGTGCGTTGGAAAAGAAAGTATACCTGGCTGCTGTTGAGTGAAGTGTCGATATATGTCTATGAGATCAAGTTGGTTGATTGTAGCATTTAGCTCTTCTGTATCTTTGTTGAGCATCTTTCTGGATGTTTTGTCCTACACCGAAAGAGGTGTGTTGAAGTCTCCTACTACTATTGTGGGATGTCTCTCTCTCTTTTCAATGCTGTTAGAGTTTGTTGTATTTTGGAGCCCTGTCGTTGGGTGCGTAAATATTTATTATAGTTATGTCCTCCTGGTGTACTGACCCTTTAATCATTCTATAGTGTCCTTGCTTATCCTTTGTGGTGGATTTTACTTTAAAGTCTATTTTGTCAGAGATTAATATTGCCACTCGTGCTCTTTTTTGAGTATTGTTTGCTTGATATATTTTTTTCCATCCCCTGAGTTTTAGTTTGTTTGTGTCTTTAAGTCTAAGGTGTATCTCTTGTAGGTAGCATATAGACGGATAGTGTTTTTTAATCCAATCTGCCACTCTCTGTCTCTTTATTGGTGCATTTAGTCCATTTACCTTCAGCGTAATTATTGATAGGTATGAGTTTAGTGCTGTCATTTTGATGTCTTTTTTTGTGTATTGTTCACAGTTTTTTTGTTCCACTTAATTTTCTGTGCTTAGTCGTTTTCCTTTATGTATTTTCTTTTCATCTTTTTCATTGTTGTTGATTTTGTGTTTGCTGAGTCTTTCTATTTTTCTTGTTTTTTATTTTGACTTGTAGGATTATTAGTTTCCTTTGTGGTTACCTTAGTATTTACCCCTATTTTTCTAAGTTTATACTAGTCTTTTATTTCTCTACATCTCCTTGACCTCCTCTCCATGTGAAAAATCTATGTCTACATTTTTTAAGTCCCTCTTTTTTTTTTAATGTTGCCAGCTGCTACATATTGACATCTGTTTCCCTATTTTCAGTGTTTTAGCTTTGATTTATTTTTGCGACTTCCCTATCTGGGTTGATATCTGGTTGCTCTGTCCTGTGTTCTAGTCTTGGGTTGTTATCTGATGTTACTGATTTTTAAACCTGAGGACTCTCTTTAGTATTTCTTGGTTTGGTTTGGTTTTTGCAAATTCCCTAAACTTCTGTTTATCTGGAAATGCCCTAATTTCGCCATCACATTTGAAAGACAGTTTTGTTGGAAAGATAATTCTTGGCTACGCCAACCTTCTTTAGTCATTATTTCGATTTTCCTCCATTTACCTGTCTGAGCTGGGTGGTCAGCCTTACTCCACCCCTCCTCACCTGCAATCCCCAAGGCTCACCTAGTCTGCTTCCTAAAACAGCCCTCACCCCCTCCGCAGCTCCGTCTCCTGGTCGGGGTCACCTTTGTTTCTGGCCTGCTCACTGATCTTCCCAGCTCCACCCTGTCCATCTCCAGTCTGTTCCCACTGCTGCCAGTGGGAACTCCTGAGAAGGTAGCTGAATAGGAACAACAGCAGCCCCAATCAGCCCCCTGCATTGTGAAGCTTGAGTTCAAATCTTGCTCCACTCCCTTTCTAGGTATGTGGCCCCAGTAAGCTTCTCTCTGTGTCTCAGCTTCTCCATCTGCAAAACGGAGAGGATGAGAGCGCCTGCTTCACGGAGATGCTGTGCTTAAAGAGTCAATATATGTAAGACAGACAAAACAGTGCCTGGAAAACAGCGTGCGCTCGCGTCACATCCTTATTGCATGCCAGCTTTTTATGATTGTTGCGAGCGGTTTTTCTCAGTTTGTCATTTATCGTTCAACATTATTTATGGTGTTTTTTTCTGGCCATCCAAAATTTTTGCATTTGTAGTAGTCAAATCCATGAATGCTTTTCCCATTTTGATTTCTGGGTTTGCTGTCTTGTTTGGAAAGGCCTTCTTCCAAACAAAGAATATCACTTAGGGCTCTGTCTTGCAAGTGACAGAAACGTAAAGTCTAAATGGCTTAGACATAAAGAGAACGCACAGATCACATAACAGAAAAGTTGGGGGGAGGGCTGGCTTCAGGTGAGCCCAGAAGTGGGCTCAGATGAGGTCACCACGGACCTGGGGCCCCGCCTCTGCTCTGCCTTCCACGGGTGGCTTCATCCTTTGGCTCTCCCTGATGTCCCACCTTGACTGACGTCCACGGCCAGGAGGCAACTGGACTGCTAGATTTAAGACCTGCCCAAACCACTAGGCTGCAGAGGTGGCTTCTCAGCGGAAATCTGGAATTATTATTCACTGAAGAGAGGGGGCCATGAGCTGAGCCAGGAATAACACCCACCATTACACCATACCCTCCAGCCTCTCTTGTGCCACTCTTATCTTTTTTTTTTTTTTTAAACTTTGCTCCATCTGAGTAGCTGGAGATTCTTCTGGTTTACGAAGTGAGGTAGGGATCCAGTTTGCTGCTTTCTAAATGGCTAGCCTGCCGTGACAGCACTGTTGACAGCTTTCCCCTGCTGATGTGAAAGACCATCTTCATCAGAGTGTGGGGAACACCTGTAACACGAGCCAGCTCGATGTGCCCTCCTCTCTGTGACTGCAGATTTGCCCACTCTTGAATGTTCTATTTGTAGAACAAACGACTAGAGGAAGTGAAAAGAGAAGAGAGAGAGTTACTGGAGGCGCAGTCGATTCCCCTGAGAAACTACTTAATGACCTATGTGATGCCGACTCTGATGCAGGGTGTGAATGAGTGCTGCAAGGTCAGACCGGAGGACCCCGTCGATTTTCTGGTAAGAGACTGAAGTTATGTTGGGTTTTTTGGTCTGAATGAGTCTTGTAAGGCCAGACTGGAGGACCCCGTTGATTTTCTGGTAAGAAATCGAAGTTTTGTTAGGTTTTTTGGTCTGAATGAGCGTTGTGAGGTCAGACCGGAGGACCCCGTCCATTTTCTGGTAAGAGATTGAAGTTTTGTTGGGTTTAAAAATATATATACCAGTTTGAAAACAAAATATGCATAGATCTAAACAAAAAACCAGTTGAGCTAGAGAAATTGTGTGTGTGATTATTTGGGAAATAGCTTCTAACCCACTCACAGTTTCTAATTAGATTTTTATTATTCATTTGAAAATGAAAGATTTATGTACTTTTATTTTTTAATGTTTAAACATTAATATTACAAATACATGACAAATAATAGATATCTTGTAGTCGCTTGCCAATTGATGATTTCTCTTTTTTTCTTTCAACCGTAGGCAGAATATCTCTTCAAGCACAATCCTGAAACACAGTGAAAATTTAAATATCTCGCGTCATCTGCCTTTGCAGAGCTAGAGATCAATGTAACATTGTGATCTGAAAATTTGCTTTAAAATCTTTTTCCAGTTTTTTTCTTAATTTCCTGCAAACAAATATTCTATTATGAGAATCACTATAAAAGCCACATGACGGTGCGTGACTACTTCATTAAAACTCTATTTGAAAGGTACATTGATATCTGTGCATAGCTCACGGGACAAATATTGATTTAATATTTCATTCTTAGGTCGGTTATAAGTATTCTGCACACTAAGTTAATTTTCAGCATGAAGAAAATCCGACTCTGTATTAATCTAACAAGTAGGCTAATGAATTTACATGATTTGTTATGGCCCCAATACCAGTGGTGTTGAAAATGGAAATAAATTACCATGGTTTATGCTTTGCTGAATCACAATAAGTCAGACATGATGGGTTCCGAAAGGTTGTTTTTTGAGTTCAGGGTTAGGTTCCCAACCAATGAGTCAGAAAGAATTGTAAATGTCTTGGTGGAAAAATCTTCTAACAGGATGAATAATTCTAACATTTGTAATAATTAGAAAGCTGCTGAAGATTTTTAGCAAACTAGCTACATAATATAGGCGTAAGTGGTTAGTCCCTACAGTCTTTGCCGGCTCTGAAATTCCATAATTCCTAGAGTTTTTATGTTTATTTTAATGGCATATATGATCCACTCCTTTAAATAATATAATCTAAATATAACTGACATTTTTTATTACGGTAAAATGCACATGACATAAATTTGACTGAAGTACCTTTTTAAAGTGGTAAGTACCTTCACGGCCCGGTGTGCACCGTGCGCCCATCACCAGCATCTGGTTCCAGAAAGCCTTCATCACTCCAAAGGGAAACCCCGTACCAGGAAGCAGTGGCTCTCCATCCCCCTGCCCCAGTCCCTGGCAACTAATCTGCTTTCTGTCTCTATAGATGTGTCTATTCTGAGTATTTCATAGAAATGGAATCACACAATTTCTGGCTTTTTGTGCCTGGTCATAGTGTTTTCAAGTTTCGTCCATGCTGTAGCATGCATCAGTACTTCACTGCTATTTTATTTTATTGTACTGAAAGAAATAGAACGTACAATTTGCCATGTGAACCAACTGTAAGTTAGATTTCAGTGACATTGATTGCATTCACAGTGCTGTGCAGCCATCACCATAAAGAGAAACTCAGCACCCACTGAGCAATGCATCCCATCTCTCCTTCCCCCAGCCCCTGGTAACCACCAGTCTACTTTGGTAACTATGTATTTGCCTATTCTAGATATTTCAAGGAAGTGGGAGCATACGATCTTTGTCCTTTTTGCGTCTGACTTATTTCACTTACTATACTGTTTTCAAGGTTCATCCGTATTGTAGCATTTGTGTAACAGAACTTCATTTCTCTTTATGGCTGAATAATATTCCATCGTATGGATATACCACCTTTTGTGTATCCACTCAACTGTTGATGTACACTCAGATTGTTTCCACCTTCTGGCTATTGTGAAATGCTGCAGTGAACATTGGTATACAACTATCTGTCTGAATCCTTGCTTTCAGGTCTTCTGAGTGTATAGCCAAGAATGGAATTGCTGGGTCAGATGATAGTTCTGTGTTTGATTTTTTTTTTTTTTTTTAATATTTTATTGTACTTCAGGTGAAGGCTTACAGAACAGATAGTTTCTCATGTAACAGTAACACACATGCTGTTTTATGACATTGG